AAAAGATGACTAGAGAACTTGCAATATGTAGGAGGAATTGTAATAGAGGGGAAATGGTGAAGGATATTGTTGAAAGACGAAGAATCAGGGCTGGAGGGGAGTTACTCATGGAGTTGTCAAGGATCGTATCTGGCTGAGCTTATTTACATTTCCAATGATAGAAACTGAGTGCTTGAGCATAATAGAGGGTGAAAAGGACATGGATCTACTAATTAATGGCAGCCTGAATATGAACCTTAGCCATAAAGGCAAATGTGATCCTGCTCATCTGATTTGTCACCAGTGCAGATAGGGAAGAGCTCATGCCAGTCTGTGAAGCATGAGGAAACCTTATCTAACATATCATCGTCGGCTTGGGCCATGGTGTTCAAGGGTGATGGGCTCACAGAAGACCTGCAGAGATAGGTTGGGGAAGGGAGAACCTCATACAAGAGCTCAGCTAGGATGCTAGAAGAAAGGTCTAGAAAGAGGTCCATGGAAAGTTTCTGATCTATAAACTAAAAATAGGGGTGAAGTCATTATCAATGGCATCAGACAACCCTGGCAAGAGCAGAGTGAGACAGGAATATACTCAGGCTGGGGATGAGGAGGCATCTGCCCTCTGGAAGGGGTCGATCCTGGGACCGTGTCCCAGCAGGAGCAGTGAGAGTGAAGAACCCAGTGAGCTCCGTAAGGCAGGGCTGATAAATCTGTGGAAGGGGCACTGCAGTGTCTGCACTCACAGTGATGGTGGATGCCTCAGGGGAGCCCACCTGATCCCATACTGCCATTTTTCCAGTGAACTCTGAAAGGGTTTGCAGGTGCACGTGCTTCTCCCAGGCAAATCTCTCATCAAGGAGTGTAGCACACTGATAGCTCTGGCCTCTGATGGCTCTTCTCGCCCTTCTCGGATGGGGTTGTGCCTCTGCTTGGGTAGCTGGCTGCAAAGTAAGTGAGTATGGCAACCTCCTGACGTCTGACTTTAGAAGAAACATCGCCTGAGCATCTTCCCAAACTGGTGGCTGCATGGACGGCCCATCAGAGGTCCAACAGAGTAAGGACTTTTCTAAGAATGGGGTCAGACTCCAGGCAGCATCTGAGCCTCAGTAATTGTCACTTTTACATCTTTATGTGGAGTAACGTGTATCCCTGCTTGCTTGGATTTTTTTGGCTCCCCATGTGGAACGATGCCCAGCCTGAGGCTCCTGCCTTTCTGGGACCGGTGGAAAGCCTAGGATGGGACATGAAGGCAAGAGCAAAACCACTTGTGCCTTCCTGGCAGGTGTCTGTCAAGCTTGGTCTGAAAGACCTGGGAGAATGGGAACGCCGCTCCAGCACTAACACCCTATCCTGGCCAGTGATATACGTATATCCTAACATTTCATCTCATCTTCTTTGCTGTAATTTAAGCTCATCACCTCATGTCCCATCTCAGTAGTTGTGAGCAACACATGACCACTAGACCGCTCCTTTTGCAGTAACTCAGGCCTTTTTTATGCTATCCAGCTCAGACTTTGCCTGCTGAGGGAAGCAAATGTTTTCCCTTGGTGAGCTGCTGCACTGCCCATTTGGGGACCAGCTTTGGTGGGTAAAGTGAGAGCCCTGTGTGAAACCAGACCAGATTAGGATGTTCTTCTCCCTTGTCTACCCTTTATTCCCCCTTCTTGGCTGCTACACACTGCATGGGCATCTGAAGACCCTTGTCTGTCCTGTTGCATGGGGTCATGGTTCTGCATCCCACTGAGTCTGTGTCCACCCCAAGCAGCAGCAGCAAAAACCGGTAGGGCTCTGGCTGTTGGCAGCCAGCAGCTCTCCCACGGCCCAGGCTGTATTGTCTGTTGGCAAGTGCTTCGGAAAAGAAGATTCAGGAAAAGGTAGGTACGAGGCCTGACCACGGGTGCACCTGGGGACATGTCCAGGCAGAGGACCATGAGAACAGATTTCCAGCTAGCACAGGTCAGAGGAAGAGCCCAGGTCTGACCAAAGTAAGCGGTGCATTTTTAGAGCGATTTTTAGCCAAGCAGTGGACTCTGCTGGCTTCCAAAACAATTAATTTAATCTCACAGGTTTTGACTTGTGAATTCACCATTCCTTTTTTTGCTACAGCGGGAACGATTTCCTTGGAACGACAGTGTGCTGCTGTCCTGGGTGAGGCACCGAGGATGCGCGAGCATCCCCGTTGAAATCCTTGGCTTTAGGCTGTTCAAAAATCCTGGGCAGATGGCGTTGGTCGGTAGGTGCCTGTAGCTGCATTGCTCTGTCTTGCCATCTTCACGGGTAACATAGCGATGGCGAATCATTCCAACTGCATAGCGTATGGGGCAAAGACAAGCAAGGCCAAGGAAATGCTTTTCTTCTTCCCCTGGGAAAAGTTCCTAGTCCTCAAAGTTATTAGCATGCTGATGGATTTTTTGAGCTCTTATTCTTATAGGGTTGTGTAGATGAGGCTAGCCTGGGGGGCTAATTTTTCTGGATAAAGAGCACCAGAGCTGTGTATATCTGCATGGAGTCTTCGTTAAGAGATGGGTAATTACGCAGGGTTGTGAAGCTCTGTGTGAGTCCCCGTTAGTCCTGCTGTCTGTGTGAGAGGGGTCGATGGGAGATGGAGCTGGTGAAGTCCTGAAGCAGCTCACCGGGCCTTGCTGCCCCTAGCCCCGGGGGCCGTGGTGATGTGAGGGGCACAGTGCAGGGACCAGGGCCTTCCCTGGGAGCAGAGCTTGGGCAATGGGCCTCTGGTAAGCTCTGCACGGTCCAGACCATTTGTGACCAGAGAAAGACGCTATCGCAGAAAGGAGAAGGCCTGGCATGGCTTGGAGACACAGGCTGCAGGATGAAGGGGCTGCTGGGCCCTCTGCTGAGCGTTGACTGGGGGAAGCTCCTGGCAGCTTCATGGACTTTAGATAAGCATCCTTGGAGCTAGGAGAATGTTTGTGTCACAAGACCTGTTCGGGGCACAGGCCAGAGCTGTAGGGGTTTCCAGACACCAGCGCTTGCCCTTTTGGGTGACAGTGACTTCTGCGGTTAACACTGGGTGTAGACTGGCTCTGTCTCAAAGTAGACTTCAGTGGAGCAGCAAACAATGTGCTGGTTGGGGAACAGCTTCTTCCCCGCCCTCCACTTCTTACTTTCTGCATCCACTTAAGACGTAGGATGTCAGCTCAGTCCCGTGGTCCCAGCATCTCCCCAACCCTAGAAAAATGCACGGTGAATCGGATCATTTGGGTGCTTCCAGGCAGCTGCGCTCTGACCTAAGAGGTGTCTTGGCATTCTTCTGCTCTCTCCTGGGGTGTGGTCCAGTTTGGGAGCTGCTTGGTCTCGCATGCTAAAGGCCATGGGCTTGTCTGAAGGTGTAAAAGGGTCCTTTTTGTGATGAGCAGACTTGACACAGAAACATCTGGACCCAAAACTCAGCAGCAGGGCAATTCCTTGCAGCCCTGTGTTTCTAGGAGTCTTCCAGGCCCATCAGGCTGGGCTGTGGAGGGGCTGCGGGGACACGCGTCCTCATCCCGGCTCCTCATCACCCGGGTCCCGGGAGCAGGGCGCTGCGAGCCCCACGCAGCTCCCCCGGGGCAGCTGCTCCTCCCCGAGCATCCCCAAGCCTGAATCTGGCGCTGCTGAGATGTCAGCTCCACTCTTATGACCCTGGAAAGGGGCCGGGGGGTTGAGACCTCCTCCACCCCCACGGTCCATTAGCTCTGTACTGTGGGTCTATTGTGCTGGGGGATGCGAGGGCTGTGTCAGCGATTGACTATCCTGCTGGAATGATTTTTCAATGACTTGCATGAGTTAGAGACCCCGCTGGCCTCAGAGCAAGAGGGGGCAAAGCTTGTGTTGATGTGTCAGGATTTACTCGCGTAAAGGCCCAGCGTTTGACTCTTCATCCATGCATGCACCACCCCCTTCTGCCACCAGTCTAATCAGAGTATCTTCCCATTCATGTCCTTCCCTTACCATCCATCTCTCTGTCTCTCTGTCCCTTACATCTCTCTCTCTCTCTCTCTCTCCTACCCCTCTGTTCTTCCAGGGAGGGACGGAAGTGTCTTCCTGGCTTCCTAGGCTCGAGGAGGGGAGGTTAGGCGATGCTAGAGGCAGCCCTGGGTGGGACACCGAGTCCTACGTCAGCCCCATGCACAGGGCTGCCGCGTGCCTCAGGGGGATGCACGGCTGGAGACGGGGAAGACGTCCCGCCCGGGCGATTCAGAGCCTGAGTGTCCAGTTTGGGAGCACGGGGGTCCCATGGGGTCTCCTTGCTCCTTAGTTTGGCTAGAGGCAGATGGAGCTTGGGAATGTCTCCCCAGATGCCCCGGTGGGTCTAGGCCTGAGAAGCTGCTCTATGTCTTCAGAGATTTCAAGGTCAGCAGAGACTGTCCTGTCCCCCAAAGTGTCCCGCTGCACAACAGCAAGTTCAGGGACCTCTCAGCTGCCCTGTGTTGTGGGCCAGCAAGGGAAGGGCTCATAGGAGGAGACAATATCTTCATTTAAAGACCACTCGCAGAGGGAAATCTAGCATGTCCCATAGTGCAGCCCACCCAGGAGAGTGTTCACCAGTGCAGGAGCTGATCCGCGCAGCAATGGGACAGCTTGGGCTCCTGGGTCCCATCCCGTTTTTCCAGGGCTGCCAAGCAGCTAAGGGGAGCCCAGCCCTTCCTCGGGCTGGTGGGGCACCAGGACCAGCACAGATTAGGAGAGCGGCCCAGCGGCATCTCCCTCGCCCCAGCCCTCCCACAGCCCCGCTGCTTGAGAGCCCAGAGGCAGCTTCTGCCCTTCCAGAAATGGGCTATTTCCTTGGGCACAGCAGCGGCGCTGGCATCTCCGTAGTCATGCGGCAGCGGATGGCTCCACGCTTGGGCGTTTATTTTAATACATCTCTCTCTCTCTCTCTCTCTCTTACATCTCTCACTCTCTCCTGGTTCTTGTTTCTCTTTCGCTAACCTCCTGTTGTGCTCTCTTTCCATCCACGCCTTTCTTTCCCTCCTGCCCCGTCCCGCTGCTCCTCCTCGCCCCCGCTTTCCCTGCCCCAGGTCAAGGTGTGGTTCCAGAACCGGCGCACCAAGCAGAAGAAGGACCAGAGCAGGGACTCTGAGAAACGCTCCACCTCCACCTCCGAATCCTTCGCCACCTGTAACATCCTCCGGCTCCTGGAGCAAGGCAGACTTTTATCCGTCCCGGCCCCTCCCAACCTCCTCTCTCCGAGTGCGAATCCCGTCGGGAGTCCTGCCGGGAACGGAGCCGGCTTAGCCACAGCGGGCACCACCTCCCCGGGGCTGAGCAGCGGTAGCAGCCCCCCCCGGACGGGGGCCTTCAGCCTCC